AAGCTAAATATTGCACTCACTCCCCCTACGCATCTCACCTCATCTCACCCAACCTCAATTGATAACCTATAGCTATACAGTATGTTGCCATAGAATCCCCACTGTAAGTATTGCAATGTACAAGGTGTTTACAAGAGTACAGCCCCCAGCTGCTCCATGTCCCGTCATGCTGTAATGTTTCCAGTCCCCAGCCCCAACCCCAGTCATACACTCCCAGCTGTCTTCACTCCTTACATGAAACACATCAAAATATGATGGCATGCAATGACGTCATGGTAACCCAGTCCCTGTTCATCTTGAAACCATCACAGAAGCTGAAGAACCATCTACCTACATACAACGGACATTACTTTGCTTTGTGAATCAGGAATTTAAGATTCAAGAAGATTTCACTTAAAACAGAACAGTGATTTAAGTGTATGTATAATCAATGTAATACTGACATCCTTGCTGTAAATAAACTTTGAACAAGTGACAGAGGAGGGCATAATTAAAATCCTGACAAATCATCTTCATCTCAAGACATTTTATAGGTATTTAGATGCTGGATGTTATCGTGACAAGTTTTGGTTTGTTTGGTGTTTAATGCTGCACTCAGCAATATCCCAGCTATATGGCAGCAGTCTGTAAATAATCGGGTCTGAACCAAACACTCCAGTGATCAACAGCATGAGCATCAATCTACGCAATTGGGATATGATGACGTGTTTGTGACAAGGAGTTTTGTAGATAGTAGTTACTTCATCATACATACACAACAGACAGACAGACAGACAGATCAACCCAGGACTATTTCTTACCCCGATGCCAGGTGAACTCCTATATTTGACAGACAGACAGACAGATCAACCCAGGGCTATTTCTTGCCCTATGCCAGGTGAACACACTTTCTCATACTTTATACACCTTGTCATTATCTTCATTGTATTTTATAGATGAAGCCCATTTGTGGGTCCTCTGTCATAATATTGCTGGAATATTGCTAAAAGTGGCATTAAACCCTCAGACAGACAGATCAACTCAGATGGCCTCTCACTCACTCCTCAATTCACCTGTCCCTCCTCGCTCCTCCCCACTCACTCACTCCTCCTCCTCACTCCTCACTCCTCACTCACTCACTCACTCACTCACTCACTCACTCACTCACTCACTCACTCACTCACTCACTCACTCACTCACTCACTCACTCACTGGTCTGTCCAGTAGCACATATAAGTTATTTCACATACTGAGTGGGTGCATCTGCACTGCCTTGAACCAAGCTGCCAGCACCCTTCAGCATGGGAAGTAACTTCTTATGATATCCTGTCATTAAAACTGCTGCCTTTGAAACACATATCCTTCATCAGATTTGAGCTTGATTTGATTCTTTTCTATAGGATGAATGTGCTGCAGTGCAGTAGTTCTGTGGCTACTTAGTTTCATTGGCATTGTTTAAAGTAGTTCATTTACACAAATGCTAAGTGTGGATCAAAAATGTTTTATCTAAGTAATTATTGTTTGAAATTGTCAGCAACTAAAATCACATTATTGATGATTGAGGAGAACTTTGTTAGTCACGATTTTTATTTTGGTGAATAGATGTTTAAATAAATAGATCTGTTAATGTGAATAATTTGATGATATTGTGATAGTAGTCTGAAAAGATTAATAATCAATTCTGACCTGTACGCATGATGTATTCCTGCAGGTGCCAGACAGAATTGTCTGGCACAAGAGCTGATTAATGATGATATTAATCATCTTTGTCAGGCAGGCAGCCATTAGTTTTCAGGCCGAAACCTCAAACTACTGGCCCAAACTTCAAACTTTTCCTGGCCCAAACATCATACATATCATGGTCCAAACCTCAAGGTTCTCCTGGTCAAAACCTCAAACTTCTCCTGGCCCAAACGTCATACATATCATGGTCCAAACCTCAAGGCTCTCCTGGCCCAAACCTTTTAGTCATCCAGGTCCAAACCTCAAAGTTATCCAGGCCCAAACCATACATTTAACCTGACCCAACCTCATACTAAACCTGGCCCCACAATTATACTTATCGTCACACCAAAACCACACACATACCCAGGCCCCAAACTGTGGCCCAGCTGGAATGCAACTCAAAACCCCTGACTAACTGGGATTAGCAGGCACTGACAGCTCTGAAGGATCTGGGATCTCAGGATGACAGCTTGTCATTGAGGGCCATGTAGTGTTATCTTCAAGATGGTTTGAAATTGGTGTTAGCCCACACTGTAGACTACTGCCTGTTTAGCCTGTTTCCATAGTGATTTTCAAGGGAATGAAAACATGATGATTACCAGTTTCTTGATCTAGTTCAAGTTTTAAAGAGGTGTTGGGGTAGTCTGGTGGTTAAAGCGTTCGCACTCCTGATGCCGAAAACAGGGGTTCGATTCCCCACATGGATACAATGTGTGAAGCCCATTTCTGGTGTCCGCCTTCATGATATTGTTGGAATATTGCTAAAAGCGGCGTAAAACCAAAACTCAGTCAGTCAGTCATGTTTTAAACTCACAAGGAAACGCAAAACACTTTTGGAGTTTCAGATACTCATTGGTGCAAATAATGTTGCTTTGACAGTAACATTGTTGAATATGTTAAACAACTGATCTTCAATCAAAATGAACTTGGCTAGAATGCAAGAATCCTAAATAGGTTGTTTTTAGAGTTTTAAAATTCTTCCTGATGTTGAGATACAGGAGTGTTATGATGAGAAAGATGTGATAGTGCCACCAGAAATGAGAGAAAAATGACTGTAAGGCTTTTTATGGTCACCTATGTTGTTGTAGGAAGGTAATGCTCTCATTTTAGCAGTAATGAATGGTGCAGTTTTATATTCAGGTACCTGGGCATGAAATATATAGATTGAATTTGTGGAAATGTTACAATGGCTGTTGGACCTTTGTCTTGTTTTCTTTTATCTTAGCAATCATTTTCTCATGTTTAGAGATTATTCAATTTTCTTGTCGTGTTTATGGGATTATTATCTTAAATATATGTCATATACCTTTATAATTTTCACAAGGTCTAAAAATTGTGGGAGGCAGGTGTTTGCTGGAGCTACCTCCCCTGGAAGTTAAGCCCTACTCAACATGTTTCATCAGTTCTATTCAATAATTAGCATAGAATATATTTTGTCACTTGAAAAAATATAACCACATTTATAACATAATTATGGTAATCATGAAGAGAAGTTGTACTTAATATTAAACATTATAGTAGTTTTTCACGATTGAGTTCTTTCACACATGTAAAATCATAAAACCTATGTCTGGATTCTTGTTATGAGGTATGCAGACAAATGTGACACAATGTACAGTTTACTACATATTTTAGAATCCTTTTTGGATTGTGCTCAACTGGTAATTTTACTATAATTTATGGGCCCTCAGATGGGCTAGGTCAGAGAATTAGAAATGAAAAATATTAAGAAAGAAGAATTTAGTGATATTTTCATATGTTTACTGTTTCTGTATCAAAGACAAGTACAAAGAATGATTATTGATTCTGTCTTTTTAATAAACAAATCAAACTGGACTATGTAGTGTGCTGATATTCACCCTGCAGTTCTTCAGATAGCAAGGTTAGATGTTCGGTATCAGATGTATTGTTCTGTTTAAAACTGATTCCCCTTGAGGCCAACTACACTCATCCTCAGTTGGCTAACATCAACTTGTCTAAGTGGAATGGGTTTTGATGGAAAGAGCCAGGAAGTACCATTTTTATGTTTAGGAACTATTTGAAATGCAACATATAGGACCCCATAAATACACTCGTAATATACTTCTATTTGTAATTCAATTGGAAATTAAGCTTAAACATGGAGGAGTTGTCTCCTTTGAGTGATAAAGAACATCTTCTCATTTGTTTCAAATGGACCTGGTGATCACAAAATAAGAAACCATTTTGTTTACTGTGTGGTATTTTGTTTCTGAAACTACTTCGATGTACAATTTTTAAAACTTAAAATATTGGTGACAGTTGGCAAGTAAATGTGAAACATATTTTGTGTACTTTTGAAGAAGGTGGTATTGTGCTCATTTCTATGACTTCTTATGTATATTATGATCCTTTTTGATTGTGCTCAGCTGGTTGATATTTTGATTTAGGGCCCAGAGGGGGTTATTGTTGGAAATGAATGAAAGGTGGTGGTTTTACAGATTTGAAACAATTATGATTTGCAATAACATGCACCTGTTTATGTTATTGCTAAGAAATTGCATCTTTAGTTGGATTATGATTTTCACTGAGGATGAAAGTGTCAAGAACCTGAAAATTACTGTTTCTCTTTCAGTAGAAAGCAAACTTCAGTGTTCACCAATAAATGAATGTGTAAACTCTGTGTACATGTTCAGGGCTGGATGTGACCATGTGTAATCTGCACTATGTGTTTGTATGACAAGAATTACGTACAGTAAACTACAGTTATAACAAAGTCTAGGGACCACTAATTTTAGTCTGCTAAATGTGGAGTTTATTATGAGCATTTAGAGCAAGATATACAGTAAGTTGGGGGCCAAACAAGCGATTTATTATATCAGATCGATATAAGCGTGTTTGTTATACACACAGTTTTTATTTCATAGGCGGATCCAGAGTGGGGTGCAGGGTGCACAGCCCCCTTTTTGTCCTGAAGGTATTAAATGACCATTGAAACTCTTGTGAAAATGGTAAGAGGCGACTAACAGGATTGGGTGGTCAGGCTCGCTGACTTGGTTGACACATGTCATCGGTTCCCAATTGCGTAGATCGATGCTCATGCTGTTGATCACTGGATTGACTGGTCCAGACTCGATTATTTACAGACTGCCGCCATATAGCTGGAAAGTTGCTGAGTGCGGCATAACACTAAACTCACTCACTCACTCCTTGTGAAAATGAAGTGTGCACCCCTTTCTCAATAGTGTGCACCCCACCTCAATGTCATCATATCTACTGCAACTTGTTTCCTTATTTTCGTCTTGTTCTGGTTTCTTTACCAACTGTTTCTGTTTCAGGACGAAGATACGTCATCACAAACCTGGCCAGATTACTACATCGAGCGAATCAGCACAATGTCGCCAGTGAGTATAGACACTTATCATGCAACTATAACCTACGTCGATGTGAAAAATCGGGGTTTTGGTAACCCATTGCTCAAAGGGAGGCCACTAGCTTTACAGAATGACTTTCCCAAAATAAAAGGAACTGCCAGTCATTGGTTTGAATCCCAGATTGACCTGGTTTGTCTGCTCCATTTCAGTTTTTGAGAGATTCATTTCTTGGCTTGAGCTTCACAAAGTAGGTCAATCTTGACTGTTTCTGCTCTAATATACTAAAAAATCAGAATAAGCTTTTCAATCCCAGAAATGAAATATGATTGTAAAAGCATGTATTTTGTCTGAGAAGTTAAAGTAGAGAAAATGTGGTCCTGGGTAGGACATTTTGTAGCATATGGTACCAGAATGACATGCCACATGCCCTGAATCAACACCTGAGAATTCATTGGTTTGATCATTTCATTCTTATTTCACCCATACAATGTTCTTATATTATTTCAAAAAGCATCACAATTGTCTTGAAAAGCCCCTGACCTGTTGGATGAACCTGGTGAGGTGTGGGCAAGTTATCCCTCTGGCAACACTCAAAATGTCCATAGTCCTGTCTCACCAGTACAACAAGCCTGATATCTAATACTGCTGGAGGAAGAACTTGTTATAAATAATTGATTGTATTCATGATTGATTCTCACCTTGATAGTCAGTAGGGAAGTACTATGAATCTTTGCAATGTTGTTAAATATGGCTGCCTAGGTCAGATCACAAGTCAGCCTAACTATATTCTCGATGTCCAATGTTTGAAAAGCTTCCATTTTATTTTGAAGGAATCATTAGCAAAGCCATATCCAAAATTTCACATGTGTGGGTAATGTGGTTAACCAGATATTTGTCATCACAACACATTGGGGTATAATATTTCTAAAAAATTGCAGAAAATGAAAAACGATCTGTCATTTGGTACCTCTTGGATAATGGTATGCCCTCAGATAATATCATATAAAATATGTTCAGTATAGTATTGGATGACTTCCCGTCATAATCAACATTCAAAGATTTGGATTGCTTGATTTATATTTAGATGGGGCTGTTTTTTAAGGACACCCCATTTTAATCTTTCAAAAACATTGTGTCCAGATATTCAAGCTGGCACTGTTTACAATATATTGAGAGCTGACACTTGTGTGACCATTCAGTATTTAGTTTGAACCCTTGGCATCATGTATGAATAAGTGAAAACATTAGAATAAGTTATGTCCTTATGATTACCTCATCTGAAAGGGGTTAGGTAGTGTCTCCAAAACAAGCTCTTTCAGTAAACATGAAGGGGAGTCACTTTAACAAGCGATTGTAGTTTCAAATTGCTTTTTTATGCACTTTAATATCTAAGTTTGATTCTAGCGGACTTCTACCTATCTCAAACACACAAAATGTGTCTTGCATATTTTGTTTCCTGAAGTTTGTGATGCATTTATTGCAGATTTTTGCGTTTTGGGGGGTACCAAGATAAAAAGTCAAACAAAATGGGGATCGTGAGGCTGGAACATAGCAAAACCAATTTGCTTGAGGTTGACAGATAATATGTAGAAAAATAAAACATAAAAACAGCTGCATTTGTATCATTTTGACTAGGTGACATCCAGTTTGTCAGCCATGACTGGATTATTCATTGGCCGTATTTCTGTAGCTGAAATATTTTTGACTGTGGCATTAGACAAAATTCAACTTCCAACATACACAGAGTTCAGTTGCATTGTTTTGGGTTTGCAGCTGTACCTGGGATTCAGTGAAGAAGAGGTCAACATGAAGATCAAACTCGTCGACAACCTCAAGACAGCGCTGAGGACACAGCCGATGAGGTAAAGGGGAGACAACCCTTCCACAGGGAATCTCAGATTGAATACGTCCCAAGCATTGCATGCCTGTTGTAAATGTCAATAATCCCCACATGGGTACAATGTGTGAAGCCCATTTCTGGTGTCCCCTGCCGTGATGTTACTGGAATATTGCTAAAAGCAGCGTAAAACCAAACTCAGCCAGTCAGTCAGTGTAAATGGCAGTAACTGAATTGGGTGGTCAGATTCTGTGATACGGTTGATTGACAGCCATGTTACGCTGACAGCCAGATTGCTCATGTGATCTCTGTGATCGCTGGTTTGTCTTGTACAGATTCAAGTATTTACAGGATGCTCTGATACGACTGGAACGTGGCTGAGTGCAGTGTTACACAATAAACACATAATACATACATGTCATGACGTCTGCTCTGCAGAAAAGTACTGACACTGAAATATAGAGATGTCATTGTCACTGTGGAACATCCGTTGTAAAAGTGATCTGGCCCCAAGTTCATGAAACAAACTTGAAGGTCACATGCAACCAAAACAGCAAGCATAATTAAAACACAATTATCACTTATTCATGGCATAAAATATACATTGCTGATTATGAAAAAATAAGTAAACAAAATTATGTTTTGACTTAGTTAGAGTTTTTACTCAAATTTGAGAATACGCAAGAAAATGCATTTCCCAGAATGAAATGTGCGAATCAAATATTAAACTCAAACTTAGTGTACAAGTTAAGTTTGGTGGATAGATTACTTCAGTTATTTGGGCTGTTTAATTTTTAAAAATTAGCTGTTTCAAATTGTCAAAATTAGTTTGAAATTTGAATGAAAACTTAAGTTAGTTTTGAGAAATCTGGGCCTGGATTAATTCAGTAGTTTTATGTTTCCAGAAGATATTTCTTTAGTTAAGAAACAAGATACAGATTAATGATTAATGATTTGCATGCTCCTGCTCCAGGTTCGTGGTGCGGTTTATTGAGAAGAACGGTCTGCAGAGCCTGCTGAACTACCTGTGTAAGATGGACTACCAGAGCTCGGAGAGTCATATCCACACCTCCATCATCGGCTGCATCAAAGCTCTTATGAACAACTCGGTCAGTTGAACACCAAGCCTTTTGAAAACTACCTTTTCCCTGTCTTACTGTTCAACATCTCAATAAATTTGGTACCTTATTCACCTAGATTTATATTTCTCTGGGGATCTTTTAGAATTTAGAAAAATGGCATCATATACCATTAGGTCAATCTTCCTAGGGGATCTTTTCAGTTCAGGGACTTAGCTCTATTAGTTGTATACTCCCTTAAAGTTTTTTATGTACACCAACTTGGCAACTCATGTCATAAGGCTTATATTCTCAAGAAGGACCTTGTATGCACCAACATACCCATACCATTAAGCATATATGCCATGCTTGATCCTGATATTCCTAACTTGGTACCACATGCCATTGGGCTTATGTTCCCTGTTTAATCCTCATATCCACCAATTAGGTCTGTATACCATAAGGCTTATATTCCATAGAGATTTTAATGTCCTCATGTGCCATGGATCTGTTAACCTTGGGAGATCCTCACATCTGACTTGGGGGCGGTGGGGTAGACTAATGGTTAAAGCTTTGGCTTGTCACGCTGAAGACCCGGGTTCGATTCCCCACATGGGCACAATGTGTGAAGCCCATTTGTGGTGTCCCCCTGCTGTGATATTGCTTGAATATTGCTAAAAGCGGCGTAAAATCAAAACTCACTCACTCACTCACTCACATCTGACTTGTATGCCCAGAATTGAATTTCATATTTCCAGAGATCAGGATAATACATTTTACTTGAATTAATGTTTAGGTACCTGGTACTTAAAGAAACATGACAATTACCTACAATGAGATGCTATAATGATAATTGTTTAAGTTATATGTGGCAGTGCATTGATACCAATGTCCTTTGTATTGCAGCAAGGGAGGTCCCATGTGTTAGCTCACCCGAATGGGATCAACATTATTGCTCAAAGTTTAAGTGTGGAGAACATCAAGACCAAGACAGCTGTGTTGGAGATTCTCGGTGCTGTGTGTCTGGTTCCAGGCGGACATCGCAAAGTCCTCAATGCCATGCTGCACTTCCAGAAACATGCAGGGGAGAGAACTAGGTTTCAGGTGAGTGCAAGCAGCTAACAGAAGGTAATGATTGGTCATTATGATTTTACATTTGTAAACCAGAAGTAAAATTAAATGTTTTATTGCTAAGCTGATAGAAGATATTCAGATTACCATGCTGTTTTTGCTTATAATTTTACTTGGATTTTTGCACAATTAATTTTATTAGCTCTAAAGGGAGACAATTTAACTAAATGGTCTTTCTTTTTTTCAGAAAATATGTTGTTTCTTTTCCGGAACAAAGTTAAATTGAACAATATTTTTTCAGACCTTGATCTGTGACCTTGACCGAAGTACAGGCAAACACAGAGATGAGGTTTGCCTGAAGACTGCTATTATGTCTTTCATCAATGCAGCAATCAACTATGGCCCAGGACAGGTAGAGTCAGTGCAAGATGGAAGAATGTTTTAAGCAGCATCAGCAGTTTTGCAGCTACTCATGGCTATATGAAATAGGATAAATGTCATAGGTTATTTTAAACAGTACTATCTACAGAGAGTCAAATGCATATTTGTTTGATACAAGTGCATAGTTATTCACTTTATAGTCTTGTTTATGTCATATATACTGAAGGATAAAAATAAGAGAACATACTTGCTTGCTTCTATGTTTCATTAAGAACACTTTATATCAACCTGACAAAGAAAAGAGTGATTTGCAAATTGATATGTCAGTTGTTAATTAACACTTAATTAACAATTAAATTCATTGACTGCAAGTTGCTACTACTGTGAATGAGAAAAAATAATTTGCAATAATGTTTTCAAATCTGAATTGTTCTTTTATAGGACCGACTTGAATTTCGACTGCATCTCCGCTATGAGCTGCTCATGCTGGGAATACAGCCAGTCATTGACAAGCTTCGATCTCTAGATAACAGCACATTAGATAGGTAAGTGAACAGGTTTTAATAGCAGGCCTCTCAGCCCAGAGATTTAAGGTGGCACATTTTATAGAGTTGCATCCCTCAAATGTAGCAGGATCTGCTAATCCTAAAATCAAAAGCTGTGTTTGTCTTAGGATTCAATCTTGATCTGCCAGGGACATGGTTGTCCCAGTGTGTAAGGCATGCAATTTCTCTGCGATGAGTATTGTCCCTTTCCCATCCCTGGATCAGCAGGATAATAATAATAATAATAATAATAATAATAATAATAATAGTGCATTTATATAGCGCTATTTCCAAACATAAGGATGCTCAAAGCGCCCAAACATGGTTTGATATTAACAGTCAGGGAAAGCTTGGCGGAAGAGGAAAGTTTTTAGTAAGGATTTAAAGGATGACAACGTTTGAGAGTCTTTGAGTTCTTGGGGCAGATTATTCCACTCAGTTGCTGCGGCATATGCAAATGATCTGTGACCGTAGCGGACAGTGTTTGTATTTGGGACAACAAGGATGTGGGTTTGAATAACAGATTTGCCCATATGTCCTTGGTTTGTCGATACCATGCCATGCTTGTTAGTGTCAAAGTGGGAATTGTTGTGTTTTGCTTTGGTCTGTGGCCCACATTAATACGACAAGCAGTGATAAGACTTAAATACTGTTAACAGCGATGCTGCTGCCAATACTAACAAGAAATCTACCAATCTAGAAATCTCCCGGCTATCAAACACTGGCAATGCTTATGTCTTCTCAAAAGGTGAAGTTTGTTTTGAAACTGGATTGGGTTTTTTCTTAAAATGATCTAATCACAGAAATAATGCACAATTTTCTTCATAACATATATGAATTTGTCACATTTGACATTCTAATTACACAAAAATTCTTTTCAATAAAATTCCTGTATTTTTCAGACATTTAGACTTTTTTGAGATGGTCCGCACAGAGGATGAAAAGGAATTAACGAAAAGATTTGAAGGGGTAAGTTTTCAATGTCATGTACAGCACATTTTTATCAAAATCGTATTATTAAAATACCAAAGAGTTATATTATAACTATATATATTATATAAAGACATATGATAACAATGGCATTCTATTATTCTATTGTTGAGTCATATTCCAATGACATGTAGTAAAATTCCTGCAAAAGCTCTACCTCTTTTACATCTTTGCTGTAAGCCTGTATGTTGGTTGTGATCAAACTACAAAAATCTTTATGTTTTAAACAGTGGCTTTCTTCACTGTCTGCTAATCAGTCTTTCAATACCCAAAGCTCTTGCCCATATGTAAAGAAAACTTCACATCTGTCTATGTGTACTAGTACATTCCAGTCATCTATTTTATTTGCTGCCCTAAGTGTTGTGTCAGTGAAATGCTGTCCTTGTGTTCCAGGTTCATGTTGATACAAAAAGTGCCTCAACAATGTTCGAGGTGTTGAGGAAGAAGCTGACGATGTCCGTGGCGTACTCCAACCTCCAGTCTATCCTACACCACCTTCTGCTTCTGCCATGTAAGTATCTCCTTCTTCATCAGAGAAGGCTCTCAGAGCTTGCCTGAAATAAGGCCAAATGGCTACCAGAATGCATGGTGACCCATGTCTAAAATCACTTTGTAGAGTTGCCTCCCTTACCTAGCAGGATCTGCCCACCACTTTTTCAAGTTGTATTTTCACCCTGATTATGGTCCTTGCAAGGTCTGTTCCTATATATATGTTAATTATTATCAGAAAAGACAGAAGTTGACCATCCAGGGTCATATTGGTGAGTTAAGCTCCAGAGTCTGCTATTGTGGGCTCACTTGACCACTGGTTTGAAGGGTTGCCTCCCTTATCTGTCATGGTTTCACTCCATACCTGTCAACTCTCACGCATTTGGCGTGAGTCTCACGCTTTATTGACAAATGTCACGCTCTCACGCCTCCAAATAATAATCTCACGCATATCTGGTAGCCAAAAATAATTTCAAAATTAATACGCATTTTCGTTCGTTTTTGCGTAAAGTTGAACATTGAAAGAACGCCTGAATGAACGAAGTACTAAAACGAATGCGAATGATTCGGCTTATTATTATTTATTAGCATGCATCTTTTAGTGTCAAAATAATGCCACCAGAAGGCTCCAAATGCCCTGAAAATCACTAAACTTCATTTCGGGAGGGGCTGGGCTTCCAGAGACCCCCACCAGGGCATTGCCCTAGACATGACCCCAGCTGGACCCCGGCTTATTTTTTTCAGTCTCACTCCAAACCATCTTTAGGGGTTGACAGCTCTGTCACTCTGATTATGATCCTTGCAAAGTCTGTTCATAAATCATGTTAATCATGTAGATGGGAAGCACGATGTGACGTCTGTGTGGGTGCTCATCGACAAGATCGTGCAGCAGGTGGTTCTCCAGAAGAACAACCAGGACCCAGATGCAGCTCCTCTTGAGATCAATGTCAAGCAAGTTGTCATGCAGTGAGTAACCATTGGTCTTTTAGTAAGATTCCAGTGATTAATGTTCATTCTTCAGGACAGGATTTTCCTCAGATATATAGTTGTTAAAAACTGAGAAAAATGTTTAACTTGTCCTTAAGATACTGTCAGGCATGAAAGTAATATATTTGAATTGATTGTACACAGACAAAAGCTATAACATAATCCTGGCTATTCTGTACCTGTTGTTAACTGGTGATTACAGGCCCTAAAACCTTACATGATGCAAAGAGTTTGAGATTTGTCAGTATGTGAATCCGATCAGTTGAGAGTTCACATACACATTTGCCTTAAACAGTTTGTTTAAAAATCTTTAAAAAGTATATATTTCCTCCTTTTTCAGATGGATAAAGTTTAATAAGTAATCTATTGTGGCCATAGGAAGGAATATACTAAATATTGAAACAAGGACAATGAACGTCCCATGAAGTGGCCAACATTTATTAACAACAACAGTATTAAGACATACCCAAAGTATTTCAAATTTTATTCCATTTTTACAAGAGACAGAAAATATCCCATGTTCATGTTGTACTTTCTGTAACAGACTGGCCAGTGAGAATGATGTGAAGACTTTCCAGCAGAAGCTCCGTGAGATGGAGAAGTCAACCGATGAGCTCAACGCCAAACTTGCCAAGAAGGAGAGAGAATGTGAAGTCCGGCTGCAGGAGAAGGTATGGGGCAAGACCACAGACCACAGATGGCAACAGTTACAATGACAATTAGGACATTATAGCTCATCAAGGCTGACATTTTGACTAAAGTTACTATGAGAGTAAGTTGTTATGTTGGTGACTCATCCTCAATCAATCAGTTATTGCAATTAGTTCTGATAAAATGCTTTCAGATGATTTTACTAAGCGATATTTATTGCAAGTACTCTTATATTACTTTGGAACTTGAAACACCACCTTCTTCTGTTTTTTTTTAAAGAAACAGTTACAAAATGAATTTTACAAATGTGTAGAGCCTGACCATGTGTTTCACTTAATTCTAGTCCTTGCCACTTGAAAATATATGATGAAATATTGGGACTGACCAATGTTGTGTTGGTGCAGGAGGAGCTGATCACCACCATGAACAAAATGAAGACCAAGCTGGAGAAGGAGGTGGCCAACCACGCCGAGACCAGGCAGCAGCTGGACGATCTGCTGTCTTCCTTGGAGGAGGCCAAAACACAGGTACAGGGGGGGACAGGTGTGAGTGGGAAACACAAGGACAAGGGGAGGGGGACAGGTATGAATGGGAAACAGGTACAAGAGGGAGCACAGGTGTGAGTGGCAAACACAGGTACAAAAGGGGAGGGGGACAGGTATGAATGGGAAACAGGCACAAGGGGGTCACAGGTGTGAGTGGGAAACACAAGTACAAAAAGGTGGGGGGATAGGTATGAGTGGCAAACACAGGTACAAGGGGGAGCAGGGTATGAGTGGGAAGGTGTGAGTGGCAAACACAGGTACAAGGGGGGGGTGGTCAGGGGGACAGGTATGAATGGGAAACAGGTACAAGGGGGTAGGGGTCACAGGTGTGAGTGGGAAACACACAAGGTACAAAGGGGGTGGTATGAGTGGGATAGGTATGAATGGGAAACAGGCACAAAGGGGGTCACAGGTGTGAGTGGGAAACACAAGTACAAAAGGGGTGGGGATACAGGTATAGGTGTGAAACAGGTACAAACACAGGTACAAGGGGAGGGGTACAGGTATGAGTGGGAAACAGGTACAAGGGGTGCACAGGTGTGAGTGGGAAACACAAGTACAAGGGGAGAGGTACAGGTATAAGTTGGAAACACAGGTACAAGTGGGCACAGGTATGAATGGAAAACACAGGTACATGGGGGCACAGGATGAGATGGAAACAGGTTCAAAATTGGACTTGAGGTACAAGATGGCCCCATATAGAGAAGGGGGGGGGTCGGGATCGGATCACAAATATGGGGGAGACTTGAAGTATGAGGGTGAAACAGGTACAAGGTGGACTAGAGGGGGATCACAGGTACAATGTTGATGGCAGAAAGTTGCAGCGTACACACATATAAACGGTTACAAAGAAAGGCCCAGCTGCAAAACCTTTAAATCACCTGAAAAGGTAGAAAATATGAGTTAAGGAATCACAACAAATATAACAGATACAATAAACTCTTATATTCTGAGTAACTGTTATTTTAAGAATGACACCAGTGTATGGAATGTTCTTCAGCTGGAGACAGAGCGTGGGGAGAAGCAGAAACTACAACATCTAGTGAAGACGGGCAGCCTCCCTGATGATGCCAAAGTGGGCCTGTCATCTGCCACCACTACATATATAGCACCCTTAGGAAAGATGAAATCAGCTCCAGCACCACCCCCTCCCCCACCTCCACCCCCTCCAGGGTCAGCTCCTCCTCCACCCCCACCAGCTCCAGGACAACCAGGTATAGTATTCGCCTGACGAGGATGCAAGAAGTAGCCCTGAAACCTACAGTAAAACATGTCTTCATGTTCTATCAAAGTTGCTATCAAAGACTTGCTTGGTACTGTTATAGTATATACAGTCATCTCTCACCAGAATGCTGGTCTTGGGGTCCATGGATGACTCCCTGTATTATAATAATATAGAGGGGCGGTGGGGTAGCCTAGTGGTTAAAGCGTTGGCTCGTCACGCCAAAGACCCGGGTTCGATTCCCAACATGGGTACAATGTGTGAAGCCCATTTCTGGTGTCCCCCGCCATGATGTTGTTGGAATATTGCTAAAAGAGACGTAAAACCAAACTCAGTCAGTCAGTATAATAATATGGAATAGCATCCAAGTATTATCATATTTTAACTGCAGAAATGGGCTTCACCCAACATTTGGAAGTAAGCAGGCTACATACATGTTTTATGTTTCTTCCAGGTTTAGCTAACCATTTTTCACCTGGCTTGGCAAAGAGGAAGAATGCGCCCAAACCTGGAAACCCCCTCAAATCTTTCAACTGGACAAAACTACCAGATGTAAGGGAGATGATTAGAACTGCTTCTTAGACCACATCAACCAACAAACCATTCTCCTTTCTTTCTATGTTTGATAGAATACATGAACTCTAGTGTATATTCCCTTACACCTCCATGTCACTATTGGAAATTCTAAGATGCCTAGTGGTTAGAACAATCGAAAAAAAACCACGTTATCAGACAATAAAGGTATAGTTTTTTGATGACGTAACAATTGAATGACGTTATCCTTTCACTCCGCCATTCTAGTGTGCCCCCTCGTAATCGAATCATTTTACATTACGTCACAATGTAAGCGACGTCACGATGCATGTCAGTTGTCATCGCCTCGTACGGCCTCCTACAGTAAACTACACCGTTGCATCCAGTTTCTTGGTTCGCTGTTGCTTCACGCAGCTAACATCACTGGTGGAAACATTACGTTTATGTTTTACGACGGTTAAAATGTGCCATTTCGACTCACAAGTTTTCAGTGACACGGTAACGCTCAGTAATGTTTACATTCCCACAATGCAATTGTGGAATGTCGCTGACTACTCAACTTCCTCTGGATGTACTGATCTAAACTTTACGCTGGTAGTAGAAATGCAATGTTCATATTGCCCCATATGGTTTACGTTAATGACAGATGTAATTAAAATAATTCAGAGAAGATATTTAATCCGAACGTAAACCGCCATCAAACTGTTATCATTTGTTTTTTTCTGGTAACGCTCGTCTTAACGTAGGGGGCAGACACATCAATAGAACAGCCAGTTAGCCCTGTGCAAGGATTCTTAATTTAGGTCACCGACACCGTCGTTTGTTTTCTGCCTTAAATTAATCGTAATTATCTTTAGAAAGTATTAAATTTGGCATCTTAGAAAACTTCTCCTGAACTATTATAGAAAGAAAGCACGAGGACGCAAGCGCCCTCGCTTTTAACTATAATAGTTCAGGGCAAAAGTGTGTTTTATCACACTATACATGGTGGTAGAGCGAAGTGTATTTCTTAAATATTGCCCTAAACATACATAGTCATTGCCTGAAAACACCACCGTTTTTTCCCTACAGATCATTGCGTACATTGTCTGTACAATATTGAACAAACTTTATGAATAACAAAGTCTTTATTTCGTGAGAGACATGGCAATTCATACGATCTTGTTATCCATAGAGTTTGTTCAATATTGTACATCACAACATCTAAAATGCCACTCAAACAAATTGTCTGTACAGATTATACCACAACGGTGGGTGGATCAGAGGAATCCAAATGATATTGAGAAGTCTTGACTTAGTAGTTTAACTTTAAGAAGGGTAACTAATGTAATTGGCTTAACATTGGCATTATTGCATTTAATTCCAAATGAATGTGAAAAGAAGTTGAGCCTTGCCCACTAATTTCGACTATGTCCATGACAGAATGTCAGGGAAGTTTAAACATAGCCTAAGGAATTTTCTTCCTGCTTACCCATATCATCATGAACAGAACACTTTTACTTGCACCTGCACATTTAGGATCGTCCAAACCATCTTTCTGCCAAAGTATTTTCAGAGGGGAGTAAGTGGGAAACTAATGGATTGTATTGCATTTCAGAATAAGATTGCAGGAACAGTGTGGAAGGATCTCGATGATACTAAGGTAAATTCACTCTTATTACAAGGTATTTTGTAGTTTAAAGGTATTTTCTATGTAGTCATATGAAAGTCAGTTTTGATATTGCAGCAACAAATAAGATGCAAGGCTTAATATTATTTGTTCATTATGAAGGATCTGGTGGTCTTTGATGCTGAAACTTGCTCAGTATTATTGCATCCCTTAGCTGCCTGGGTTTGTTTATTTTGGGTTTGAATCCCAGAGGGTAGCCAAGTGGTTAGGCATTTGCTCCTCAAGCTGATGACATGGGTTTGAATCCCAGAGGGTAGCCAAGTGGTTAGGCATTTGCTCCTCAAGCTGATGACATGTGTTTGAATCCCAGAGGGTAGCCAAGTGGTTAGGCATTTGCTCCTCAAGCTGATGACATGGGTTTGATTCCCAACATGGTTACAAGTTTTTTTCTGATGTCAGGATATTGCTGAAATATTGCTAAAAACTGTGTAAAATCATAGTTACCTGTTTTAGGGAGCAAATCGCAGTGAAGCAGGTTGTAGATGTTGAAAACTGTTGTTAAACCAATGAGCAGTGGTACTTTTCATTTAAACCACCTCCTCTCTCTCATTGTTGCAGCTATACAGCATGCTAGATCTCACAGACTTCGAGAAGACCTTCTCCGCCTACCAGCATCACCGCGGTGATGGGGAGGAGGACACGAAGAACGTGAAACCCAAGGTCAAAGAGCTGACGGTGATTGATGGGAGGCGGGCCCAGAACTGTACTATCCTCCTGTCAAAGATCAAACTCAGCAACGAGGAGCTACGTCGGGCCATCATGAATGTCGACTCCAGTGAAGATCTCCCTAAAGACATGGTGGAACAGGTAGGATTCTTTCACGTCTCATGCTATCACTTTCTCATCTCATGCTATTCTTTCTCATCTCATCCTATACTTTCTCATCTCATACTATAACTTTCTCATCTCATACTAATACTTTCTCCTCTCATGCTAACCTTGGTTGTCTCATGCTATAGTTCTCTCATCATGTGTCATCCCTGTCTCGTTTGATGTTATTATTTAACTTCTTCACTCTGTAAATTGGAATAGTGCTGAGTGCGGCGTAAAACTAAATTCACTCACTCACTCACAATGTCCCTTCTCAACCAGCGTAAAGATCAGCTTGAATGTTTGATGAATATTCCATCTGAGATGTGGAATAAAAGACAACCCTTGTGTGGCTGTCACCATCATGCAAGATCAGATTTAAATGTTTGAGACAATTCTGTAGGAGGTGACAAATAACATAAACCACTGTACAGTATTAGGTTCACCCACAAGAACTGTCATAATAATCGATGGCAGTGAATGAGGATGTCATTGGAAAATCTGACTGGGAACCTTTTACTGGGTATATGGACTTATTAGTCTGTAGTTGATCTTCTCTTTCAAATAAACATACCGTAGTTTCATAACAATATCATAAACGCTACAAACAGAGTCCATTACCATTAGGGGTGACATTACACTCTTTCCATGATTCGGTACGTATTGTTGTACAAGGCCTTCAGTTTGGTCTGTTTCGGTTCGGTATATGAGATATGATCACAATGCAGAAAATGACAAGAGCCAAACCTTACAGATTTTGACCAAATGGTTCGATTTGTAGACATTTTAGAAAAGGTTTAACAAGATCAATAACATGACGGTACGAAAAAACCAAAAATACCGAATCTTTGGATTGCATTACTGTACACCGAACAGAAGGCAAAATACCACGGTTCTACTAATACCGCGGTCTATCGTTTCACCCCTAATTACCATTAATTAAGATTTCCAGGATATTTAGGTAACATGCTGCAGTTGATGTCACTATGAGCTTTGTTAGACATTTATTGGTTTTGAATGTATTTGGATGGGCACCATGTTGCAGCTTCTCAAGTTTATACCAACTACCGAGGAGTCCCAGCTTCTGAGTGAACTGAGTCATGACCTGGAGCACATGGCCCGCGCTGACCGCTTCCTGTATGAGATGAGCAGGTACTGTACACATCTGTCAGACACTGTCCGTAGAATAGCATTCCTGGGGTAGTTCAGGGCAGAATCAGTTGATTTAGCAGACTAATGACTGTCGGATGATTCCAGTATGTCTGATATTGTAGACTCTACTGTTTTATGTCTTGTGAGGATGTCTACATCGTTCGTATTTACTTTCCAGAATTGTGCATTATGAACAAAGATTGAAAGCCCTCTACTTCAAAAGAAATTCCAAGACAGACGAGGAGATTGTAAAAATAAAGTAGAAGGTGAGTGTTTGCAAGTCCAAGTAGTTGAGAGATATACTGAGATGCATTTTTACTGAGATGCTCTGGAATATGAAGTAGCACACATGAACTGCTAGTCGCTGGTGTGCAACATGAATTCCTGACTCTGAGGGTGTGGTTCCGATTCCCAGATGGGACTCAACCCAATAAAAGTACTAGAATCTGTACTTTACTGAGAAAGTGTAGTCCCAAACTTAACATCTGTTCCAAATGTAATGTTGTCTGAAGTTGACCCTATTATCTTACTTGCAGCTGTGTTTGAAGCTTCTAAGCAAGTGCTACGTAGCCGGAAGCTAAAGAAGCTCTTAGAGCTGGTGCTGGCGTTCGGCAACTACATGAATCGGGGACAGAGGGGGAACGCATCTGGCTTCAGGATGACCAGTCTCAATAAGATCATCGACACCAAGTCCTCCATCAATAAGAATGTAACACTCCTTCACTATCTGGTCGAGGTTCTTGAGAAGAAGGTAGGTCCCACTGGTAGTGATGGTGATAAATTTGGGTTTGCTTGTGTGAGGGAGTGAGTTTATTAACTGCTTTAACCGCTAGGCTAACCCACTGCCCCTACTGATATGGAACAGACAAACCATAACCAGGGTGAATCTGGGATTCAAACCAATGACTGGCAGTTCCTTTTATTTTGGGAAAGTCATTCTGTAAAACTAGTGGCCTCCCTTGGAGCAATGGGTTACCAATGGCAATGCTTTAACCACTAGGAATGCTTTAACCACTAGGAATGCTTTAACCACTAGGAATGCTTTAATCACTAGGAATGCTTTAACCACTAGGAATGCTTTAACCACTAGCAATGCTTTAACCACTAGCGATGCTTTAACCACTAGCAACGCTTTAACCACTGGGAATGCTTTAACCACTGGGAATGTTTTAACCACTAGGAATGCTTTAACCACTAGGAATGCTTTAATCACTAGGATGGTTTGCATGAAAATGATCTTTTATTATAAGACATATGGGTACCTAGAGAGGAAACTGTGATGTGATGTCATCTCATCTCGTGTGTCACCTATGACATTTGCCTACAAGGATCAATGACTCATTTGTCTGATTCAGGTCCTCACATTTTGTAGTATGACAACAGCATTGATTAAATGGCTTACTTAATAGAAGTTTTATTTTGTTTCCAGTTCCCCGATGTTTTGAAGATCGAGGGAGATTTGTCAAATGTCCGAGATGCCGCAAAGGTCAAGTAAGTATTAACTCAGGTTACTGATCTAGGAAACAATTATCTTCTGAGAATAAATGTTATTGCTCCATACTATGTCATCAGTATTTGATGTTGTCTTATGATTTGAATCTAAGTGTTTTGCTAAATTTACAAAAGTATTGTGTCAGAATTGGTAATATTGTCAGTGTACTAACCAACATCAATGTTACAGTTTTTCAGATCTGGACAAGGAAATAGCAGCACTCAAATCTGGACTTGCAAATATTGAGAAGGTAAGCGTTATATAAGTGAATATGGTCATTGTGCACAGAGGTGATAAAATAACTTGTTTGTTTTTTAACACTGCACTCAGCAGTATTTCAGCATTATTATGGCTGTCTACATACATGCAAGGCTGGACCAGGCAACCCAGTGCCTGACATCGTGAGCATCAGTGCAATTAAAATACGTTCGTGGATCAAACAATAATTAAGAGGCTAATGAGTGACTATTGTACTCAAAGAAAGAAGTTAATTATTAAGCAATTAATTAATTTTCACCATTGATTTGCTCTTACATTTGACATTACCCTTCTAGGAGATGGAGTTTTTCCGGAACCAGTCTTACAATAGTCAGGACAGGTTTGTGTCTGTGATGGGAGACTTCTGTACCATCGCAGCCTACAACTTCTCTGAGGTGGAGGACTCTTACACTGACATGAAGACAAAGGTGAGCTACAGAACCAAGATCCCAGATGACCCAAATTATAAAAAAGCCATACTCATGATCATGAGTTTTCCTCAAATTCAGTGTCCATGATCTCTATGACCAATGGGTTGTCTTCCTTAGCTGTGCCAGGATGTGCTAATTGTAGGTTCAGGGTCATCAATAGTGTGTCAGCACTTGAGTGAGAAATAGATATTAAATGAGTGTGATTCAGATACTATTATCTTATGAGTTGGGGGCGGTGGGGTAGCCTAATGGTTAAAGCATCCGCTAGTCACACCGAAAAGAGTGAGTGAGTGAGTATGGTTTGTATGCCGCTTTTAGCAATATTCCAGCAATATCACGGCGGGGATCACGTGACACCAGAAGTCACGCTGAAGACCAGGGTTCGATTCTCCACATGGGTACAATGTGTGAAGCCCATTTCTGGTGTCCCCAGCTGTGATATTGCTGGAATATTGTTAAAAGCAGTGTAAAACCATACTCACTCACTCACTCACTCACAATCTTATGCGTTGTGAAAGTGAAACATTATCACAGTTGTTTTTATAAATTTAACCTATTTAAGAACTAGTCATTTACTATGTGGGATGGCTGAAAATAAAAAATAGTTTCGAGTATTTGGGGTGGGGGGAGGATGGTTACTATGCAAAATTGTTATGTTGGCTGGGTGGTTGTCAGGAAAATATGAAACACCAAGCCAACAGGTCCACCAAGGCCAGCAGTGACTAGTTTCTGATTAAGGTTAGGATGATAATGCAAACTACAACAAAGAAGTGTGTGTGTTTCAGTATGAGATGACTCTGAAGACTTACGCTGAGGAGAACAAGGTACAACCAGACGAATTCTTCGGGACATTTGATCTGTTCATGACCACCTTTACCGATGCCCGTCTGGAGAATGAGAAGATGAGGAAACAGAAGGAGGAGGAGGAGAAGAGGGCCAAAATTGAGGATCAGGTAATAGCCAGGTGCAAGTGCGATATAATGAAGCCATGCTACATTTCTGGAAACAGTTTAGATTTTAACTCTGGGGTTGGGGTTGGGTAGATATTGTGAAATATGACCTCCGGGAAGGGTTTTGGGTACAGGTGAGTTATAACATTCGTGGAGGAGTAGGATACACATTGTGAACCTTAGTGTTAGTGTTAGTGTTAGTGTTAGTGTTAGTGTTAGTGTGTGTGTGTGTGTGTGTGTGTGTGTGTGATATGACATCATGATGATGATGATGGTAGTGGTGATTCTGATGATGATGATGATTGTGGTGATGATGATTGTGGTGAGGGTGATGATGATTGTGGTGAGGGTGATGATGATTGTGGTGATGATGATGATGATGATTGTGGTGAGGGTGATGATGATGATGATGATGATTGTGTGAGGGTGATGATGATTGTGGTGAGGGTGGTGATGATTGTGGTGAGGGTGGTGATGATGATTGTGGTGAGGATGATGATGATTGTGATGATGATGGTGGTGAGGGTGGTGATGATGATTGTGGTGAGGATGATGATGATTGTGATGATGATGGTGGTGAGGGTGGTGATGATGATTGTGGTGAGGGTGTTGATGATTGTGGTGAGGGTGTTGATGATTGTGGTGAGGGTGGTGATGATTGTGGTGAGGGTGATGAGGGTGATGGTGGTGAGGGTGATGATGATGATTGTGGTGAGTTTTCCTTATCCTGACTCATGCTCTTTTGCTTGTCTTCTTCTTCTTGCTAAACATAGTGGAACACTTGTATCTCCTTATTTGAAGCCCCTTCAAAATAAAATCACTAATTGGTACTCACCACGAAGTTGCTCCCTTTGTCTCCCCTGGCGGAAAGGTGTCGCCACCCTCTGGCCATGTGCTTCACTCTCCTTCTTCTTCCCAGTGAGCAGGATGTGAGAGCCTTGTGTCTCCTTACACACCATATCCTTTGATAATCTCTTAGTTTTACCTCCTCATAGGTTACTATAGAGGTATAGCTAGTATCCTTTACTATTTGTATTGATTAATTATCGATTTCTACTGTTTATTCACGGTATTCGCGATTGTTCAGCTAGCTTTACGCTGATGAAAATCTGTACGATTTGTAGATTACGCTTTTCTGCCTCCCATCCACATGTAATATGCCCTAGTTGTTCTACTGCAGCGCTTAATTCACGCTGCAGTTACTGCATTAATTTATCTCATTCTGCATTTAATAAATATCATCTTTATGCCTTTAAGACGCATGCAGATAGATCACGCAAACAAGGGCAAAACATGGCAGAGAGTCCAGATATTCCATCCAGTCAGCTGCTAGCGATCGACCCTCTCCCGCCTGGTGTTCTGCTAGAGACCCCGCGGCAGAGGAACGTGGGACGAGTCCGCTACCTCGAAGAAACGACCGCCTCCCCAGACATCCCGCCATTGCAGACCAAGTCTAAGAGGGCCTCATCGCCGCCTCAACGCAGATTGAGGACACTCCAGGGCAGCGCAGACTTCCAAAGGGAAATTCACGAAGACAGCAAGAACTTTCAGCCGAGATCGCTCCAGCAGCAGAATTGGGCTCTCTACGATGATCAGCCGATAATCATCCCCGACTTTACGCAGAAGAAGCGACCGGTGTCAGCGACTGTGACTTCTGCAGAGATCACCATGCAGCCTGATGCTCTACACCGACGCCAGACGCCATTGATGTGAACCCCATCGCAGAAAAGACGCCGACGACTTCGGCCACAGATCATCCCAGAAGACATGATGCGCAGATTATGAACATCATGGAGGACCACTACAAACTGCGCAGCAGGGTCCGAAGCCTTCGCTGGCTCCAACGTGACAGCACCCCAGAGGCACCCCCGCCAACGTAGCAGCCAAGACGATGTCACCTTCGCTAAGGAAGTCCCGCGACCACCTTGACGGCGACCTAGATGTACAGCTCTTCGCTGGCGGCCTTCGCTAAGGCGGAGAGATCATCACCATCTTCGATTTCATCTCTAGATATGGACTCAGACCATCAGACATCACGGAGGCCTTCGCTGGGTCATCATATCATCGATCCCCGACCGACGCGAATGAAGCTTCGCTGGCATTCATTCGCTAAGGACATATGATTCCAGATCCTCATCATCTAGAAGAACATCGAGGGACTGCCAAGAGCTTCGCTGGCTATCAACATTCACCTCACAAGTCTCCGAAGATCATCCCATAGACGATCTCCACTTCGCTCATCACCAGGTCGATCACCCGCCAGATCTCCACATAGAGCGCGACAAGTCAACTAGATCGCCACAAACCTCATCAGATATACAGACAGCTACACGCAGTCCCGGCGAGCATCTACAATTTGTTAATGATGATGGTTTTGAGGATGATGGAGGAATCATATTTTCTGATGCAGAGATACGGTATTGATGGTCAATAACCTAGATCTCACATCACCATCTAAAAGTGGCAATACAGCTTAGACGATTTGATGAAGGAAGATGATCCAGATGCAATCACTCTACCCCGATCGACCTGGACATGCAGTGCCACAGAATCTAGATGCAGCTTTCCAGAAAGCTACGAAAAGTTCAGATACCACATCTGCCCAACTTTCGCCAAGAAGTTCTCCACGATAACATGGACTCCTTCTACAAGGCCCAGGACATCGATGAGAACTATAAGATCATCAGCGATGTAAAGAACAAGATTTACAAGATGGATGATCGCAAGTTGGCTCATATAGAAACCATGACGAGACGTGATGTTCTTTGGGTTAAATAGATCTAGGACGATCAATGAGACTCTTATTACTAGATTCCGGATTCCACGACGGAAGATGATAGAATGATTTATTCTGCCTTACTTATGCAAAAGAAAGATCAGCAGTTTTAACGGATCATCTTACATCTGTTTCAGCAGCACTGACCTTAGCTCGTCGTCCAAGGCCTCCTCGCCTCCTGTAATTGGGGAGAACTTTACAGCCCCACTTTATACAGCCCCGCGGTCGACAACATCCATCTTTGACGGAGAAATCGACAAAGTCGCCAAGGAAGTCTCTAAGGATTCCAGGGAAGTCCTTATGATTAGATCGATGGACACACTAGCCAGCGCCATTCGCCAGACTTCACAAAGATACTCAGGCAGATCTAAGTTCACGGGCCTACAAAGAGCAAGAGACAGGAAGATAGCCAGCTCTAGAGGTAAGATTCTTTCGTCACGCCCATATGGCAACTATAGAGGAGGATCAGGAAGAGGCAGGACACCCAGAGGTTCCCGCAATTATAGACGCTGAAACACAGGTTCGAACGACTGGAGTCTTCCACCCCAGCCGCTCCAGTACAGCCAGCTCAAGTGGGTGGACGCCCAACTACACTGGGAAAACTGGGGAATATTGCAAGACCCTTACGCCTCCAACATTCTTCAACACGGATTTCAGATCCCTCTACAGGCTAAGCCTCCGCTGACAATCAAACCCCCAAGTTCGATTTACAAGCTTAACAACTACCAAAGATAAGAGAGGCTGTTTCATCACTCCTATCCAAACAGGCCATAGAAGTAATAGATCAAGCAAACGCCGAACCAGGTTTCTACTCCCCAGTTTTCCTAGTTCCCAAGAAAAACTCCACGGAGAAATACAGACTCATCTACAACATGAGCTTTTTCAACAAGAACTATCTACGAAACCACCGGTTTCAAGATGATACATTTACCTCAGTTACGCCAGATGATTCGGCCCTATGGACTACATGGGCAGCATAGATCTACAGGATGCCTACCTGCACATCCCCATTCATCCCGATTCCAGGAAATACCTACGATTTACTCTAGAAGGGCTACATTACCAGTGGAAAGTACTTCCCATTCGAATATCATCAGCCCCTGGCTATTCACGAGGATAACGAAAACCGATTATCAAATTTCTACATCGCCAAGGGCTACGAGCGCTTTTACCTCGACGACGGGATACAAGTAGATCAAGATCCACTGCGCCTCAAACTACAGTTAAATTACATCATAAAGCTACTAACACAACTAGGTTGGTTAGTAAACTTACGCAAGTCGGACCTAGTACCATCGCAAGACCTGCAGTTCCTAGGTATTCGATTCATCACAAATCGCAAACCGTATTATGGTACCAGAAGACCGCTGGCTCAAGATACAGCAGACCATTCCACCAGCTCTACTCTCTCCGCTACCACTGCGACAATGGCAGAGCCTACTAGGTCTTCTCACATCAGCCCAAGACATGACTGTCACAGGCAGATTACAGTTACGCCCCCTACAGGTCTCATCAACGACATCTCAACGATGTACAACCATTCAGTCTACCAAACATCTCAGACCGCATCTACTATGGTGGACCAAGAAATCGAATGTCTGCGAAGGGATTTGTTTAGCAGAGCAGGAATACAAAACCCATCTGTATGTAGACGCTGTTACTCCAAGGTTGGGGAGCTCATCTCACCAACCACACGATATCAGGGTTATGGAATCAGCAAGAATGCAAACTCCATATAAACAGTCTAGAAATGAAAGCTGTAATCAACGCCATTCTACATTGGAGCACATTTCTACAAAATGCGCCACTTAATGATCCATACAGACAATTCGACAGTGGCGTTTCTACATAAACAAGCAAGGCTCAACGAGATCGATGAACCTTTTGAACCTAAGCTTTCAACTGTTCGATTTAATACAAGATCTAAATCTACATGTCAGAGCAGTGCACATTCCCGAGCCAGAAATATACTAGCAGACGCCTCTCGGCCTCATCTACCATCACCGACAGAGTGGATGATCAACAGGGAAATTTTTGCACAGATAATCAAGCAATTAGGAGCCGCTAATAGACCTATTCGCCACGCCGATTCAACAATCAGCTACCGACATTCGTGGTCACCAGTCCCAGACCCCAAGCTTGGGCAACGGACGCCTAAGTCTATCATGGAAGGCCTCACGCGCGACGCTTCACGCCAGCAATAATACCTCAAGTATTACAGAAAATC